GCCCTAGTGGGAGATTGTTGGAGTAAAGTCCATATTTGTGGGCACATATGCATAATGTACAATGTTATCATAAAGTATGACACAAAATTAAGTGACCAATTATGTTACATGTGTTATATGTATTAAAGTGTCATGTAATCAAAGTGTAGATACCATAAGTTGTATTTATAATTTGATGAGGGGCAAAATTATAAATACTTAAAAGATTGACATAATATTTAATCTATATAAAGAGGTAGTTGTCCCCAAGAAATAGGTTAACTCTCGCATTTACTCTTATCCCCGTCAGAGAGTTTATACTTAAGAGAACTGTATCTTCTTGGGATATCACAACCAAATAAAGATTCAAGATTTCAACCTATCAATTAATTCAGGTATACTTTCGCTAATCTAATATTTATTTTTATTCTTAATGATTTGACATGATTAGATTCTGGTTATTTTCATATTTAACATGATTTAGTTCTAACATAACAATCTAGTTTTTATGTTATTTTATTAAATATTATGTTCAAATATTATATAACATGGAGTTTATGTTATTTTATTAAATATTTCGTAAAAAAATAAAATGATTAAATTAATTAATAAAATTAAAGTGATTAAATTTAATTCAAAAAAGAATACATACCTTGATATTTGGAAAACACGAGATATGTTGAATACTATTCGCGATAAATTTTTCGATCTGATTCAATATCTTGGGAACTTCGCGTTATGCGTAACGCGAGGTATTTAATTCTAATATTAAATTATGTTATCTGAAAAGTGCGTTCACGCGAGGTATTTCGGGGTTTTTTTATATAATAACGCTCATTATATATATATAGTTATGATCCACTTACACTGTGCAAAACTCTTTTAATTTTACACTTTTTTAGTATCATTGGATTGATCGATATCAAAGCCTGAGATTAACTCTTTTTTTCGGGTATATATCTTCTCATTTGCTACTGTTAAACACAACTTTTAATTTCTCTCATCCAACGATCCTAAAAAGGTGTAAAACTAAAAGAGTTTTACACAGTAGGAAACAAGAAGATATTCACTAGAATAAATGTGTTAATCTTAGCCTTTGATTTCCCTCAATCCAACGATCTTAAAACAGTGTAAAACTTTTAATTTTACACTAGGTGTAAGTGGATCCTAACCATATATATGTGTATATAGTTTGTATCTAACTTTTAAAAATGTATTTTTTTCATTTAAGTTAAATTTGGTTAAATTTAGAATAAATTATGTGATAAAGACTTATAAATTAATTCGAATATGATAGAATAATAATGATTTTATTAAATTAACGTTAATTGTTTTACTCATATTAATCTTATAATAAAAATTGAAAAAATAATATTTTATTGAAATAATAAATTTAATTTAATCTTTAAATTTTAATGATGTGATTGGAAAGGAAATAATAATAGACTTCAACATCTTTATAGGAATAAAAGAGACTTCAATTTACTTGTATGTTATTTTTTTATCACATTTGAGTTAATTTAATAAAAGATAAAAACTTGAAACTCAAAGAAGATGTAATGATGATTTAAGATCTAAAATAATTAAATTGATATTAAATTTAATAATTGCACGAACCAAATGATTTCGCTGATAAAGGAGTTTTTGTTACTCATTGATGTCCTGAATTCGAGTAATAACAATGTTAAGGGTGTAAACGTTCAATTTCAAATGGATGAGAATTACTATCTTTAAACAATATTATTTTGTACTTATCACAGATTAATAAAAAAAAAAGAATTAAGAGAATTAAACTGATATTATTTTAACTAAAAAATATATATTTTCATCATCAAAATTTCAACACTTGATTGAATAATTTCAAAAATATTTTTGTTAGTTCTAATCATAAACTTTAGTTTTTATTCAATTTTACATATTTTAAAAATAACTAACAAAAAATCAAAAACAGATATATTCATTTTTTTCATATTAAATAAACATAATTAGTTAAAGGAATCGTTGTTGTTCCTATAGGTCACGTGTTAGAGCATCAGCGACTGCAATGGGGTGATTTAGCGTTCATTTTCAAATAGTTAAAATTAATTAGAACATATATTACTTTATAATCATCTTAGCTTAATAAAAAATGTTCGAATATAAAAAAAAGTAATAGTTTCAAATTTTATAAATAATTTTGTAGATCCCGTAACATGCTGTCGCGTAAAGAAAAATAAACAACAACATGCGACCGTGCCACGTGGAGTATGTGTCATGTTCACAACGGTGACGTTGGAGTTTATGTTAAAAAATGACTGACATTCTTTGTTATTCTTTTGCATTATCGTACCATATAAATAGAGGGAGCGCTCGATTAAGTTGAGTTAAAAGATTTTGAGTTATTTAAGTTGATGAATTATATTATATAATTTAAATTTTATTTGATTTTTTTAGTCGAGTCGAGTTTATAAAATTCGAGTTGAATTGTTTTAATGTCTATTCAAATTTAATTATAAATATTTATAATATTATGATAATATTTGATTAATTAAAAAAATCTATAACTATATACAACACGTATATATTTATTCATATTTCTTCATATGTGATATACATTAATACATATGAAGAAATCTTTATTCAAACATATTTCTTCATATTTCTTTATATATTTATTCAAATTTAAAAATGTTAGATAAGATCGAGTTAGATTTGAGTTTAGTGTAAAAAATCTTTGACCTGACTCGACTCAACCTGGGATGATTTCTTCTGTAAGTTTTGGGATAATTGTTATAATATCTCAAAAATAAGTTTAGAGTTCGAGTTTAATTATATACTTATTTTATCAACGATTATTTTTATATATAATTATGTCGGATCAAGTTGGGACAGATGTGGATTTTACCTCAAAGGTTCAAGTTTGATCGAGTTCGAATGGAGGAAATATGCTTATCGGGTTGGGTCGAGTTAGACCAAGAGGTCGATGTATGCTTTTCGGGTTGGTCAAATTTTGGTGAAGGATGTATATGTTTTGGATCAGTTAGATTCGAGTGAATGATGTATGCATCTCAAGTCGAGCCGGGTTATCTAAAAACTTGACCAACTCAATATGTTATCATCTCAATTCGATACAGTAGTTACCAACGACGTCAACATATTCATTAAAAGTGGATTATATTTTGCTCACGAATGACGGAAAATGGATCCGATTTAACGTGCAAAATAGTTGCCAAGGAAAAAGTTCTAATCACTTTGGATATGTAATATGTATCACGCTATCATTTTTGACAAATAATATATGTTACGTCATCAACTAGCACATGACATGTCACCTTTTAGGTACTTATTATGCATCACAACATCATTTGAGATACGCGATATTTCACATCATCATTTTGATCATGTGTCATGTCATCACTTAGACACGTAGCATGTGTCATATCATCATTTATACATGTAATATGTGTCATGTCATCACTTTAGACACATAGGATTTATCACGCCAGTGATAGTCGTTGATCGTTGGTTCATCTAACGATTTTTATCTAACTAGGGAGTATTTTGCCCCAAAATAAAGCGTTAAAAATCATAGTCTTTTGAAAATATAGAAATTAAAGTGAATATTTAATGAAACGTAAATATATACATTTCCATATTATCATGTAAATATTACTTTCTTTTTCCGACCATTTAAATTCATTCATGTAAAGATAAATATAAACTCATTAAAAACTCCATAATTCATTATTTTAAAAATAAAATAGGGTAAACTACACCCATGACCATTTAATCATGAGAGAATTTTAATTTGACTACTAACATTTCAATGTTATCAATCGAACCACCAATCAAGACACATGCCGTTAACCTTAATGGAGGGACTAATGTGGTAGTTAAAAAAGTAGTATAATTACACATATGATCTTCATTACTTACACATTGTTTCGGTTTGATTTAAATTTTAATTTGATTCAATAAATTTAACCATCTAATCAAATAATGACATATGTCATCATCTAATTGAAAAGTTTCTTCTTTATTTTTATTCATTTAATTTAATAAAATTTTATCAAGTCAGATGTTGACACATATCGTCATATGATTAGATGATTAGATTTATTGAATTAAATTAAAATTATGATTAACTTAATAAAATATGTAATTAATGAAGATTACATTTGTAAATATATTAATTTTGTTAATGGTTACGTCAGCTCCTTCATCAGTTGTAACAAATTATTTGATGGAAATTATTTAAATAATTAAACGATCTGATTAATAAAATTAAAATATCAATGATGAAAGATCAAAGGTATTACGATAAAAATACATATTTGACTGAGTTGGTTTTAAATAGATAATAATGTATATTTTTTAGCCAACCTAAAAATTTAATTATATAAAACAATTTTTTTGGGTAAAGCACATAAATGGTCTCCCGACTATAGAGTATTGTTTTATTGAGTCTTCTGACTATTAAAAGGTATAAAATGGTCCTCTGACTATAGGGCATTACTTTTTTTGAGTCCATCTACTATTAAAAGTTACAAAATGGTCACCCGAATATTTTATATGTTCCAAACTCGTCATTTTTATGTTAAAAATGATGACAATCGGAGTTAGACTTTAACTTGTTGACTTATATATGATATATTCCGGTCTCACAATCTCAAAAGGCTATCATATTCCAATCAGTGGGTTAACGTCAAACTCAATCCGCTATCAATTTTTAACAAAAAATGATGAGTTTAGAACACAATGAATAGTCGGATGACCATTTAGTACCCACAATTGTCATGTTAAGTTGTAACAAGAAGGAACTGCCTGGATATTCATTCCCCTTTAGACTCGGGACTTTCTTCATTTCCCGTTTCCCTTTCAATTTTACTTCCTTTTATGAACATTTATTTACCATTTCTCCCCCAAGAATTTATTGTTCAGCGTAACGTAAAAATCATTTCTTCTTTTTATCTTTGTTTTTGATGCTGGTAATGACAGTAGAAACGTTTGATTATTTCAACTGAAAAAAAAACCCACCAAAAATGGCACGCTTGATCTTGAGATTGGGATCTAAATCTGAGGTTTTTTACCGTGATGGCCAGACCTGGTAATTTCTTCCATTTTTTTCTTTGCAGTTTCATCTTCTTGCTTGATCCAACTGTTTCAATTTTGTAAATAGATAAAAAAGAGTTCCAATTTTTATTTGATTGTTTGAAAATATGATGAATTCAGCGTATGGGTTCTTACGTAGACTGTTTGTTTCTTGATGTCAATTGTTTCAATTTTTTGTTTAATCGTTTTGAAATATGATGAATTTGGTGCATGGGTTTTAAGTAGATTGCTTGTTTCTTGAGTTACAAGTAACTTGCTTTGTTCTTATCTTATGTTTGATTTATGTACCGTTAATTAGGATTTAGGGTTCATGGATTTATGTTTTTTAATCTATGAAGAGTGTGGAATCGATAAAGGTGGTATTGCTTCGGTCGGTTTTGGAAAAAAAATTAGGGTTCATATGGTGTAGAAAAGAGCAGAAAATGGAGCCAATGGAGTTGTTTAACTGAATCTTTACTATCTTGTATTCTGGTTTAACTATATATGTTCCATGATTGAATTGGCAGCTTAGTTCTCTGCATTTCGTATTACTATTCGATCTCATATTTGATCTTCCAGGTTGTGCTCGACTGGTCTTCCGAGTGATCTTGTAGTCGAAGTCAGAGATATGGCTTTCCATCTTCACAAGGTTCTTAACTTGGTTCTTATTGTTGTGGGAGAAAGTTTAATACTTTCACATTGAAGATATTGTGTATAGAATGTCGTATTCGTTTGCTAATAAGAATGTCATTTTCCTTGTTTATCAGTTTCCATTGCTTTCAAGAAGCCCCGTAATAGCGGATCGAATTAAGGACTATTGCGGTTTGGATGACGAGAACTGTGTTCTGCAATTCCATGACATACCTGGTGGAGCCAAGACCTTTTTGCTTGTAGCCAAATTCTGCTATGGAGTCAGATTAGAGCTCAATGCAATGAATATAGTCGGTCTTCGGTGTGCTGCCGAGTATCTTCAAATGAGCGAAGATCATGGGGACGGAAATCTTATAACGCAGACTGAAAGCTTTCTGAATGAAATGTTTGGTCACTGGACGGACACGGTCAAAGCTCTTGAAACCTGCGAAGAGTTTCTACCATATTCAGAAGAACTTCATATTGTTTCCCGGTGCATCGATTCCTTGGCAATGAAAGCTTGTGCAGATACAAGTTTGTTCAGTTGGCCTTTATCGGAACGTGGTATTGCACAACGTCCAGAAGGCAGTCATGTCTTATGGAATGGAATATGTACGACAGCCAAACCACGAACATTGAGCGAGGATTGGTGGTACGAAGATGTGTCCTTCTTTAGATTACCGCTGTATAAAAGGTTGATTATAGCTTTCGATTCAAGTGGCATGAAGCCAGAGAGGATTGCCGGTTCCGTTGTCCACTACGCAAAGACGCATCTTCCATTGTTGTGTCGGCAATCGAGTTTCCAGGGTCGGAACAACGCTGCCCCTGTATCAATCGCGTCTCACCTATCTGATATGGATCAAAGGCATCTCCTTGAAGAAATAGTGGCATTGATACCTACCCAAAAGGGTGCCACCCCAACAAATTTTCTGTTGAGGCTTCTCCGAACATCGATGATTTTACGTGCAAGGCCACCGTGTCAAGAGAAGCTAGAGAGACAGATCGGGGCTCAGCTGGATCAAGCTGCTTTGGAAGATCTTCTTATACCGAACATTGGGTACTCCATGGAAACCCTTTATGACATTGACTGCGCTCAGCGGATTCTTGATCACTTCATTCGAGTAGATCAGGAGTCGCTCAACTCTAGTTCGAGTTATGTCATTGACGAGGGGCAGCTTATGGGAGGTTCTCATCCATTGACCCCAATGACCATGGTGGCTACCCTGGTGGATGGATATCTAGCTGAAGTGGCACCTGATGTTAACCTGAAGTTGCCGAAGTTTCAATCACTTGCAGCTGTCATTCCTGACTATGCCAGACCATCAAATGATGGAATTTACCGTGCAATTGACATATATCTTAAGGTATATTCTTCCCGGTTTATCCGATTCGATGTTTCATTTGGAAATACCAAGATTTGCATACCATGATTCTGCTTTCATTCATACCGATAATTTCAATATTGCATATACCCGTAGCCTATACTCACACTCGAATCCGGAATCAGGCACATCCATGGCTGATAGATTCCGAGAGGGAACAAATATGTGGTCTCATGAACTGCCAGAAGCTCTCACTAGAAGCCAGCACTCATGCAACCCAGAATGAGAGGCTACCACTTCGATTCATCGTCCAAGTCATATTCTTCGAACAACTTAGGCTTCGGACATCAATTGCCGGTTGGTTATTCGTAAATCCAACCGGGAACAATGCGTCATCGACATCCATTGCGCGAGACCGTTCTGTGGAGGCTGATGACATAACGGAGCGGATTTCGGAGCTTGAGAAAGAGTGCTTGAGCATGAAAGAAGAACTCGAAAAGCTGGTGAAAACAAAGCGTGGTTGGAATATTTTCTTGAAAAAATTCAGCTTTCGATCAAAGTCCAAGTCCACCGATCCGAAAACGGCAAAACCTTCTTCCGATTCAAGGAAATTGAAGCCCTGCGATCCCAAAACATCAGCTGCAAAAGTTTCGTTCGCAAACGGAAGTGAAAACTTCCACAATGGTGAGTCTGAATTGCAAGTTCTTAAAGAAAACTAACAATGGCAAGTCTTCTCCTGCTTTAAAGTTTTCAGGCAGTATTTATATATTAGTCAAAAAGTTGATTAGTCTTTATATTAGAGAACCGAGTAATTTAACATTCGATATACGTTGCTTGAACTCTATTTTTCATTAAGTACTCGTGTTCGATAATTTTATTAGTATAAGATTAAATGAAGAGTCGGAATATCATAGAGATCGAGCTCGTGTGCTCGATATTAAATGAAGCAGGCAATCATATATATATCTTTATGTACACCACAACACAGATACAAAAGCTATGTTACTCGAACTCGGGTGTAACTATTAAGTGTTGGATATATGTCATTGTCATGGTCATCCGGATATACGTCTAGCAACAGTGTCGAATATGACTGTCGGACATGGTCGTAAGACGCAGGTACTCGGACTAGTGTACTTTTTTTGCCTTGGAACCTAGAATGTTACCTTGGTTTTGGTTGTGATGACCATAGTGGTTGGGAAAGACTCTGAGATTGAGTAAGCATCTCAACCATTGATGGCGTTTGATAAGCCAGGACTAGGCTTGAACCATCGGTGGAGTCGCCTCTTGTGGTGGCTCTTTGCCAAGAGTGCGAGCTAAGCCCGGAAAGGATATAGGCTCGCCCGGATACCTCGTATACATGCCTGCTAACCATCCTCTCTTCCATTTCCTTGAGCTCCACATCCAATGCGACACAAAGTCGGTCACGAGATTTGGCGGAAACGGACTCGGACAATACCCTTCTACAATCTTCAAGGATCGAAACAGCACCTGCGAGATCTCCTTGCTCGGCTGCGGTTCTTGCCTCTGCCATTGCCTCTGCTGCTCGGAACCTATTACGCTGCCTGTCTACTTCAATTGATATTTCTTCATTTCCTGCTATTTCGGGTCTTTGAATCCGAACGATATCACTCTCCGAAGTCATTATTTCTTTCGTTAAGAGATCCCTGTAAACACATTTCACCTTTAGCAATGATGTTTCACATGCAGAGGACTCGGCCGGTACTTTTACTGATACCAAGAAATCCCTCTCTTCGTCGGCATAGAGATCCCCGACATCGATAAATCCGGTTTTCCCATCAGCTGACAGATTGCTTGGATAACTTCCGGCTTTAAGCAAGCCGAGGCAGATACTCGAATTCATGCACTCCACAAACGCTTGCAGCTCTTGAACCACAACGCTTAAAAGACCGCCGATGCATTGTGCAAATGCATCCTGAATCATAGTTTCGGTTTCGATAAAAGAAAACGTCCCTCCAGAGATCTCTGAAATCGAATGCATTGATGAAGCATCATGATCTGCACCAAAACCGAAAGCATGGACTGGAATACGAAGTCCCGAGTTGCCACCATCATGCATAGATGGAGGCACAAGCAACTCGTAGTTAGGTGGAGACTTGTTCATGCTTGTGCAGTAGACAGTATAAGTATCCTGGCCGTCGGACAAAAATATAATGCTAGCAACCGGATTCTTTTCCGTTCGATCTTCCATTACCTTCGCACCTTTTCGTAGACCTTCGGCTATGTTGGTACCACCTTGAGCAACCAAAGAATTAACAGCTTGAAGTGCCTGTTGCCGCCCTAAGTCCGACATCCGACGAAGCGGAAAGAGACGACAAGCAGATGAAGAGAAGGCAATGACCGAAAGTCGATCATTGGAGCTGAGGTTTTGTATCACAAATCCCATCGCTCGTTTTAGTAACGCAAGCTTGGTGCCGGACATGCTAGCGCTAATATCAAGCACCGCGACTAGATCAACCGGAGCACGATGATGTCGAGATTGCAGCAAGCTAGCATAATGTATGTTCGGACTAAGATTTCGAGTTGCAACCGCTGCAGCAGCTTTAAGGTGAACCAGAACGGTGAAATCATCATAAGTATGAGACCTCGGTACGGTCGAGACCTCCGGATATGTTTCGATCTTCATTGTTGTAACAGATGTGTCATCCGAGTAACTCTTACTTTCAGCAATCACATGTAGGTGGTCCAAGGACTCATCGTCATCGAAAACGCCTGGCTCAGCACATCGAAATACCGGTGCGACATGCTGCCGGTTTACATCCCAATGAGTTGTAGGCAACCGGCGGACTATAGCCATCAAAGCATCATTGTGTGTCCCACCTACAGTATCCATTGATGCCCTGCCAGGGATATGATCTAAACCGGTGCTCCGAATCGGGATTTCGTTCCATTTCGATCGGCAAACTGGACAGATTCGATCGCCATACTTCACATTCGAAGCAATGCAATGGAAGTGGAAAGAATGTGAGCATTCTGCAGTGAATATAGCATGGCCACCCCCTTGTTCCATCTTCATCAAACATATCGAACATGTTTGCTGAAACAAATGTAGCAGAGAACTAAATCAAACACAGCTGACATGGCATTCATAAAAGGATAAATAACGCCTTTAGTCCTCCATGTCTACAATTTTTATCAATTTAAACTTTAATCTTTAAAAATACAGGAAAAGAACCCCGTTTTATCAAATAAACACAAGTCCCATCACCTAAAACCTTTCTATCCTTCCAAACCATGCTAAATATATTCTCGGGAAACAAACAGAAAGTACAGAAGACTTAATAGCCCAAAAGTTCATCTCCTTCAATCAAACAAAACACATACAGAAAAGACAGAACCAAACCTCGGATGATTTGCTTGTACTTTTGGACAACCTTATACCATGAGAGGAAGAAACCATGTTTTCACAGTTCGAAGGAGGTAACAAAGCAGCATCAGATAATCTTTCACCACCACCACCACCACCATCATCGTCTAAAGTTCTGGGTAAATAAGCACAAAGGTTCAAGCCTAAAGCCGACTTTGCTTTTCTCCATTTACCACCCATTTTTCACCCAAAAAAACAAAAACCCAAAGTTCAAAAATGGATCCTCAATCTTATTCTAATGTCAAAGTTACCACATATATATGTGAAATTAGAAGAAAAGATCAAAAGAAGACTGGTAAAAGCTGTAGTTTTTTTTTCCTTCTGCAGGATAGTGTCAAAAAGGACTAAGTCAGAAAGAGAGGGAATGGTTTGTTTTTAACGAGAAGAAGATTAATGGTCTTTTTTGTTTGTTTGTTTGGTGGCCGCCATTGATGGGAGAGTTTTTGAGTTTTTGGAATTTATTGGAGATTTTGGAGATCTGTTTGACCTTTGCTTTCGTTGTCGGGAGAGCTAAAAAAGGAAGAAGACTAGTCCAATAAAAGCACTTTTGGCTGGAAATGGTCAAATTTCTGTTTTGGTCCTTTTATTATGCTTTAAATTGCAATTTAATCTCCAAACATTAATTTGATAGTGTTCAATCTTATACATTAAAGATGAGATAATTAAATTATTATCTGTCTCCATTTCATTGGATTCAGTTAATTTAGTAATAAGCTCATATATGAGACCTATTATAAAAAAGATTAAGTGTTTAACCATATTATTTTTTAATAGAAGCTGTTAGTATTATAAAAAATATTAAAATATCTGAAATTACAACAAGAGTTTACAAACAAGAATCAATCTGATTGCATCGGCAAATGAACCACAAAAAGAAACTAAGCTATTGAAAGACCACCGAGAACTACAAAGTAGAGTCGAGCACCGTGAGAAGCTAACCACAAACTCAAAATCACGCATCCAAATTCAATATGAAGGTCTATAGCAGGGAAGATCAACAAGATTTCAAATAAGCGTCATCTTGATCAGTCGTGGCGTCGTCAAATCCAACTTTGAGAAAACATAAGTAAAAGAACGGACAAACGGCCAAGAAAAAAATAAAAAACGTGCCACAAAGACAGAGATAAAAGTGCAACACAAACAAAATTATTCTTATTAAAAAACAAAAGAGAAAAGATAATCGTAGATCGACAACCAATATCAAAATTAGTGTCGTCATTGGCTAAACAAAATCAAAGAAAAAAATTGATCTGATCTATAAAATTCGATACAAACTCAAAAAAAAATAAGAAAAGAAAAGGAGAGCGGCTAGGGTTTTTTACGCCTATAATATTTATATATTTACTTCTAAGTGTTTAACCATATTATAATTGATATATTTTATAACATTTTATAAAAATATGTTACAGTTTTTAATATTTTATAGTTTATATATTAATTATAGAATATTATAAGAATATATTTATAACACCGATCAAAATATAATCTATAATTTATATTATGATTAATACATTTTATAGTGTTTTATAACTTATGTTGTAATTAATATATTTAAAAATATATATAGTTTATTTATTTTATGAAATATTATTAGAATATATTTATAATTTAGATTATAATTAACATATATATATCTTCATATAATCTTTTAATTTTGTAACATAAATTAATAAATAATTTTATAAAATTAATATCTTTTAATTGATGTTATAACTATATTTTTATAATATTTTATAATTGATGTTATAATTAATTTATTTTTATAAAATCAATATAACAAATTTTAACCACAACTTAAGTATAGTTTTTGTCTAATAATTAAACATTGAACCTTTTGTGTGGAGAGGTTTTAAGCTTCAACCCCAATAAAATTACTTGTCTCATTTTTTAGCAATAAAATATATTTTATAGTTTTTGATATGTTACTTCCTTATGAAAATGTATTAATTTACTATATTAATAGCTTGATGTGATGCAATAATAATTATTTTTGATGGAATACTTAATTAGAGATGGGCATGAGACTGAAATTCGACGGATTCTGACTCGGGTTGGTTTTAAAAAAAAATTATATATGGATAAGTACAAATAAAATTTAAAATTATACACAACTGATAAAATTAATAGGATGATTCTTCCACGCTCGACGAGCACGGTGAGTATCACTAATTTAATTTATAAAAATTTAAAATTATAAAGGGTTCAACTTATAATTATAAATTAGTTAAAAAATTAAAGGATTTAAAATAAAGGGTAAACTATACCGGTGACCACCTAACACTTGCCTCTTTTTATTTTGACCACTATTTTTAAAAGTTTATCAATTAGGTCACTCAACTATTTAAATGTATTTAATTAAGCCGCCATTAATATTTAACGGAGAATCTCGTGTGGAAGTTAAAATATTTGGTACAATTACACATTTTGTCACTGATACTTATATATTCTATCAATTTGGTCCAAATTTTAATAAATTAAAATAAAAAAGAATTGATTTTATTCTATCATATATAGTAATGATATGCACATGGAGTATTATTTACCCATCAACCCCGTCTTTACCTTATCAATTCAAGCACTATATCTTTCAACATATAAATACTGATTCAACAACATTTTTTATATTTACTTTAATATAATATGTCTATTTTGTACTTTATAAAATTATTAGAAATTATATCGTCACAAAACAATAAATTAGTATACTAATAATAAAGAAAGGAAGTATATAATAATAATAATAATAATAATAATAATAAAAAATAATTATCATTATAAATCATTTAATTTTCTGGATTTTGTGTCGAACTTGTGTACTGGTGGTTGGCTCTTTTTTTTATAACGTAGGACCTCCCAAGACCAGGCTGAAGAACCTGACCCTACAAGGCAACCTCCGGAGGGGCTCAAAGAACCCACCACTCTGTCCCCCCCACTTTTTTCTAGGATTCCTAGCCAGATCGATTCGAACCTAGGACATGAGACCAGCTCATAATCCCAAGAGCCATTGCTTTGCCAACTGAGCCACGCCTGCGGTGGTAACCGATGGTGGTGGTTGGCTTTACATGCATAAGAAATGGAATGTTTGTAATGATCTCTACTTCTACTAGAAAACGAAGCAGTTAAGCATCAGTTGCTGTTAACAAGTTAAATTTTTATATAAAAAAAGATTAATTGTGTATTTGATCACTTAATTATCACTTTGGTTATGTTAAGTATCTAATTATTTGTTTTTCAAAATTTTCGCTAATGTTAGGTATTGATTTCATTTTGATCATCTACTGTTAAATTTTAACATAACTATTGACTTGCCATTTTTTATTTTTTTCAATGATGATGTTGCATTACCTTATTGTGACATGTTAATATCACCGTTAATTTTTAAAGATTCTTTATCAAAATGATACAAAAAAACGTAACGTTAATGCTGATTTTGAAAGGAAAAAAAAACAAATATTTTGGTGACTAAAACGAAACCGTACAAATAATTAGGTGGCTAAATATATAATTTACCCTATATTTTATTCGACTTGAATTTTTATTGTAATTCTTTTTGTAAATTTTATCCTAAAATCAAATTTTTATTTATTTTTTACGTTAATTAATACTTTATTCTCAAAATACTTTTTATGTCATCTATCGAATGTTAATATGGAGGTTGGGGAAAAGCATATGTCTCATAAATTTGGACCGTTGAATTAATTAAGATTGGAATCTATACTCGGAAGCTTGACAGGAAAACTCTGTTGAAATATTCCTTCCTTCATTTAGGGTAATTTACACTTCTCATCTATCAATTTTACTTGTGTTCTTTTTGGTCATTCGAATTTAAAAAAATTATTTGATAATTAGCCTTTCGAATTGATTAAGCTTTAGTCCCTCAATCGTTAAATAAAAATAACAAGATAGTGCAGACGATTTTATGTTGAGTGGGAGTCGTGTGTTGTTCACCTCGATTTTTTTTGGATTTTTTAATTTCATCTTCTTCCGTGACAAAGATGAAACCTAAAGAGTTCTGTCCTTATGTTACATCGACTAAGGAACTACCATTTTTCGATGTCTTTTTTGACCACTCGAGACACCACGAAGTCAACTCAGCATCCCCTACTACTCTATTAGTTCATTTTTTTTTCAAATTCTCTTTAATTCGTAAAACTCAACCGAAAACAAGAGGAAAATGAATTTGATATGAAATCACCATCGTTCAATCAACACGGAATCAAGATATATAATTCATCTCCTCTTTCTCCATCTCCTCATTGTAGAGGTTTGGAAGAAATGCTTAACATCAGAAAATCAAATAGAAACCGAAAAGTTAGGTTATAACGATTTCAGGATTTTTTTCACAAAAAAATGAAGAAAGTTTTTGGGCATTTTCATAATTTAAAAAAATAGATGTCATGATATAACATAATCAATTATTTAATTGTAGTGTGACTAAAACAAAATATATTCAAAATTTGAGTGACTAAAACAAAAATTAAACAAAGATGAGTAATAAAATGTAGTTTATTCTTATATTAATTTTTTTCAACTATTGAATCTATCAAGTAACTTCGGTGATAAAAGAAAGTGATATTTTCCCTAAATATTATTGATTTGAATAACCATGCCTACATAGTGTAATCATTATCAATAATTAAGAAAAATTATGAATAAATATTACTTTATAATCTCGTTATACTATTCAAAAAATATTTATATATTAAATTTGAAATAGGTTTTATTTATAATACAATTTGATTTTGTGGGCTTGAAATACTACAAAATTATTATTTTAATTCAATTTTAAAAAATAAATTAATTTTTAACAAGTAATCTAAATTACCAACAATCGGTTAGTTTAAAGAGGTGAGACGTTAGATCTTTTAAACAAGGTCAGGGTTTTAAATCCTAACGTTTGTGAATGATCAAACTGGGTTAGGGGGCCGCCCTCGTCTTTATAGTACCCGATTTAGATTAATCTATCAATAAATCAGATACCGATGATTATAAAAAAAATAATCTAAATTAGATAAAGAAATGTAAGAATGATTGAGGGTTATTGAGTGGAGTTTCACTATTCCCACTAACTTTTACACCCTTCAAAAGACAGCCTTTCTAAAAAGAATATGAATCCCAATCTTTTTTAGATTAGTACAGAGTTATTCTCTCTCAATCAAAGCAAGAGATTTTATGTATAAAAAAATAAAATTACGTGTTTGAATTTTAATATTATGAATAAAAAATAAGATGGAAAATATATATTATATTAATCGACTAATAAATCATATACATATGATTATATAAAAAAATAAAAATTATTTTCAATTTTTTAAAATATTGTATTCATTTTTTTTTAATTTGAGTGATAAAAAAAAGATAAAATCTTAGAAATCCATTAGCAAAAAAGGCATCACTTGATAAAAGGACCTTTGTGAAGGGTATAAGATTCCTTTCCCATCTACCATTATCTAGGACAAGTCAACTGGAAAAGTTCGAAACCTTCTTTTTACGTATTAACAAGGTTAAATTATGGTTTGGGTCCTTTTATTTTCATCAATTTTCTTAAAAACATAACTTTCAAAAGGGATGGGCATGGGACCCAAACACTACGGGTTTTGCCCTGATCGAGTCGGATTATTTAAAAAAAACTGGGTTTGGATCGGGTTCGAGATTAGTGTTAAAATTACCCGACCCGACCAGACCCAAAAAATTGTTATTTTACCTTATATATCTATCTATATATTATTTTCTTTAAATTAAATCCCTATATAAAAATAATATTTTTTAATAAATATATTATTTCGGATCAGGTTCGGATTTTATCTCAAAAAATCAAGTCGAATTCTGATCAAGTAGAAGGTGTATATTTTTTAGATCGGGTTCAAGTCGAGTGGAGGATTTAGAATTTTTGGGTCGGGTCGGGTGGACAGAAAATCCTTTATAAGCATGACTTGAAAATGGTGATTTTAAGGGGGAAAGACTTAAATAACTCAACCCAAATAGTTAACATGCTAACTATTTGAACTAATTAAAGACATTAGGAGATTAACTTGAGCATTAAACCATAAGTTTGAACAAAGTGAAAGGACCAGAACCATAATTTGTCCCGCTAATAATAAAAATAAAATAATTAATACAAAAGATTTTGAATTATTATTTGATACGGTGCGGATAGGAAAAAAATCACAGAGGTTTTTCAAATGATGACAATTTTTTTTATTTATTTGCTTCTAAAAAAATTTAAATACATTAGGGGTAAAGCCCGTATATAAGAGGTACTCTGACTATACGTTTTTATTTTGTTGAGTCTCTGAACTATAAAATGTTATAAAATAGTCATCTGACTATTAATATGTTTCAAATTTATCATTTGTTTAAAAAAACATGATGGTTATCTGAGTTTGATGTTAATTTACAGACTGAAAAATGATAAAATTATATTTTATTGGTTCACCCTGCACCGTTTCAAGCGTTGACTTATGTTTCAAACACTGGCTCGATGACATAATCCATAAAATACAACTCAAACGATTTTGAGATTAAACTTATCATTTATTTAAAATATCAAAATTTTATTCTTGAAGAAGGAAACTTTGGTTCATATAATTTGAAAATTAAAGCGAAAATGATTGGGGTTTTTAGCTTCATTATTAAATTAGGTAATCTAAAGAGGGATTGATTTTGCAAAGATAACAGATGATTGGTTAGAGCTAAATTGCTTTTGCATGATGACTAATTCATCATTAGATAAAAAGAAAGATATAGACTAATGATTGAGGGACAAATAAAAGACCCTTCTCTTTAATTATTAATAATTTATGAATTTACACATCAAATGTAAATTATATATATATATATATATATATATATATATATATATATATATTCCTCATCCCTATATATATATTCCTCATCCCACCAAGAGATGGGCATGGGTTGGGTTAGGTCGGGTTTTTGGCCCACCCGACGTGACCCGATCAAAATAATATTTCATCCGACTCGATCCGACCTAATATATAACTTAAAAAATTGACCAGATTCGATCCGAAATAATAATAAAATATTATTTTTATTAAATAAAAACATTGACTTAATTTTAAAAAAATAACATATAGAGTGTGTTATTGTAATTATTCCTAAATATATAAGGTAAAATTATATATTTTTTCGGGTCGAGTCGAGTATCTTTCACCCTAAACCCAACCCGACCCGAACATTTCATTAAAAAAAAAACCCCGACCCGAACCAATTTTTTTTTAAATCCGACCTGATCGGATATCTAAGGTCTGACAACCTAATATACGGATAAGAAAATGATCTGCCGGAAATGTTAATATTTTTTTAACATTTCCGGTTAAACACTACCTAAAACATTATTTTTTTACCGGAAATGTTAATATTGGTCGCTACCTAAAATGTTATTTTTTTCTACCGGAAATTAGGTAGCGAAAGTGACATTTCTGGTAGAAAAAAATACTGTTTAGGTAACGCTTTACCGAAAATATTAAAAAAAAATATTAACATTTCCGATAATACATTTACTTAGTCGTATATTAGGCTGCTGTACATTAAAACTACCCTACAACACCCTCTCCCAAACTTGTTTGGAGAACTGACGCTGAAAAAATAAATGATCCCGAGTCTCCATCTCCTCACTGCAAAGGACACATGACCCCTCAATAAAATTAGCTAACCCTTATTTTCATATATAATGGGGTAAGAGGGAGGTAGGATAGTAGGTTGCCCCCAACATCAGATTGAGAGCAGCTTCCGTAGGAGACCTCCGAATTATGAAATGCCCTCCGTAAGACTCGATCTCATGACCCCTCAATAGGCAATCCAAATGGATCAATCCCTAAGCAAAACCTTACGAATCAAGGAAACAAAACAAGCCTGATTCCAACTCAAAAGATCCCACAAGCCCAAACCCCTTCCGATTTAGGACAACAAATGTTGGCCCAACTAACCCTAGACCCTTAGTCGGCTTGTCTTCTCCTTTCCAATTACAGATTGAATTAACTGTAACCTACAGCCTTAGTGATAAATTTCGATAAGTTCAATGATCATTTCGTAATAGTTAAATAAATATAATGATCACTTTGTACTATTTAATAAAGTTTAATAACTATTTTGAAATAATTTAATAAATTTAATAACCATTATATAATTTTAATTTACATACTCTAATTTGATCGATTTTAATTTATGTTTTTGCATGTGAAATTTCAATCAAAATATTAATAATATATATACATATATTTAAAATGATCAAATTGTTATCACTGAAAATTCTAGGTTCGAGCACCAACGACTGCAAAATATTTAACAATTTATTACAAATGATTAAGAATCTTTAAAATATATACTACCACTTGTAATCATCCTAAATTAATAAAAAAATTTAAATAAAATATAAAAAATCATTTTATATTATTATTAAATAATATACATATTTTAAATTATTTAAATTTTATATGGTATACATCTCTCTCTCTCTCGCAGAGGTCGTCTTCCTATATTTCTCATTACATGTTTTATCCATTTTATCCTCAAATCTTTAAATTGTTACTGCAAAACCAATTTACATATGTTATACTCCCTCCGTCCCATAAAAACCGTCTCTTGATGACTTTTAAAAAATCAAAATTTTTAAACTTTGACATTGGTTATTTTAAATATTTTAAATAATTAAATTTTATAAAATATATATTTGAAAACTACTTGATTGAAGGTTTTTAAAACATATTTTTATCATTTATAAAATTTAAATAATAATTAGTCAAAGTTTAAAAAAAACATGATCAAGAAAAAGTCAATAATAGACCGTTTTTATGGGACAGATGGAGTAATTCATTTCCTATTTGTCAAGCCGTCGTCCATTTTATCACGGCATGTATCACTCCGTTCTTCGAATCGATCAGGTGGTATTTCTGGTTTATCCGGTCGTTATGGACGACGTCGATAAGATTGATATCGACATTTTTGAGATGTTCCTACATAGCATACGATGAAAGTAGACGTTGAAGTTATAACGATGCAGTGAGAATTGGGAGACAGTCGCATGCATGCGTACCTTCGATCGGAAACTAAAGCCTGTCCGCTTGCTCATGACTTCGATATGGATCTTCTCGTTTAAAGGAGGTTCCTCGAGCATGAAGTGAAACTCTTCGTTCCAGACGGGATCCCGGGTTCCCTTGATCATCTGAAAACACCAGAACAGTTGGGCCGAACGGTGTTAAGCTGAGAAAATAAGTTGGAAAACGAACAAAACACAATGCAGCCGTCAGAGGTTCACCTTTGTCCTTTTCGTCTCTCCTCGGAGAAAAACGACTGCGTAAGGGTTGTTGTGGTGTTCGCCCTCGACGTCCTCGGCTCCTTGAACCAGAACCGAAAGCAGACCTGCTCCGCTATAGGCTTCGCTTTTGGAATATCCCCCGTTGAGTCCGCTTTCCTTTCTCCCGTATCCGTCTTGTGTCCCTTCTAATTTGATGATATCTTCCCTAAATGGGGCATACGTTAGCTCAACCACAATCTTCCCTCTTTGTTTCTTATCTCGAGGATCATAACTATAAGTGTGCTTCAGCAAATCGAGTTTGAATTCCTTCGTCTCGTAGGGAGTAAGATGTTTCAGGGGGACGAACTGCATTCCGAGCCGATCATGATTACCGACCTGTAAATAATTTGAATCGTTATTTAGATAAAATCTCTTTTTATCATCCAAAGTTTTGATTCTATAGTGAAGTAACCCAGAAGGCGAAAAACCTTGTCCCAATCGAAGACTTGCAACTGAAGAACTTGAGACTCGGAGTCCTTCACGATAAGCTTAAACTTCTCGTTCCATTCCGGATTCAAATTCCTCTTCTTGATGGTTGTTTGCTTTGCCGGCAGGCTCTCTCCGGTAAGTTTTAACTTGACGTAAGGGTCCGACGTCCCAAGTAAATCCTTCTTTATGAGCTTTTGCGCCCGCACAACGTTTACATGTAGTATTCCGACAGGCTTCTTTACAGCCACTCTATAGGACAATCAAATCGAGAACACGGCCATAGATATAAAACTCGTTATATTTCTCGAAAGTTCCGTAAAAAAACGAGTAGATACTAATGTAATACATAATAGAAACTTACGTCGCAGAATCAAGAATCGGCATCTCTAATGTTTGCGGCCAGATGTAGAGCCTTGCGACTTGCCGTTTAATTGTTTTCTGCAGGCAACTCGATCAGTTAGCGAACTGCTCTTTAAACAGAATTCCAAGTACACAAGCAATTCAGAATTGTCTTAAATTCAGACTGCAAACAAAGTCCTATACTTTTTTCGTATTTCAGATTACCGGTACGGTACCTGGACAAACTGATAAAGTCCGGGTATAGCCATAATATCGCCTCCGAGTATGTTCATCCCGAAGTCTACATCAGGCTGCAGACAGATAGCAAATATAATTGTCGGAAAACCATTGTAGCATTCATCTATACTTACGATTTTCGGTGTTCGGAAAGTTTTACTAACCTTCTCGAGGAGTGATACCGCAACGGTTGCAAAACATGGTAAGGTAGGTACAAAAGGTTTCAAAGTAATCCGTGGTGCCATAAATATTTGTAAATCGATCAACTGCGAAGCATCATAATCAAACTACCGAAGAAAACAGAAAGAAAAAGATACATTCGTCTTTCGATTCTTTCTTTAGACTCATCTAACCTGAAGGGTGACTCGGAACGACAACAGCTTCAATGCCAAAACTATGTTCGGATTGCCGGCCCATCGAACTGCTGGTTCCAAGACTAGTTGTTTCTCATTTGTTTCAGAGACTTTAAGACCTGAAAATCGAGATTTCCCGTGCTTAATCATTTACTTGTACTATGATATGATTTTGGTGAACAAATCAACATCCATTTCTTTCAGAAGAATTCAATCTTATTCATGATTATTCGAGTCAAAGATCATAATGCAATTACATCACACTAATATATCGGATTAGTTCAGTAACCGAGATCGTTGTTTGATGCTATCTTCGGCATTGAATCTCATTACAGTGAATAAAGTAAATATTGAAAAGGAATTACCGTGAATTTCCGGAGGAATGGTTCCCAGACTTAGATGATCATACTCGAAGGCTTCTATTTGAAACTTCCCGAAATACTCGGCGATCATGGGTTCGGTAATGCTTTTTATTTGTGCACAAATTGCCTGCAGATTGAAGTAAAACTCTGAGTTCATAACGTGATCGAAAATCTCTAAACTGTTTTTAAGTCATCAAACTACCTTATCGAGGTACGGCCACATATCGGTAACAAACTTGTTCAGCCAATCCACCTGCATTGTTATAATAAATTACCATCAATATACAGCTCGAGTAAGAACAATACAAGTAATTTAGAACTTAGATAAACAATCATAAAGTTTGAATGCTTACTCTCTCATAATCGGGACGTTTTACCCATAACGGAATATCCGGTAGAATATCAAGCAAAGCATCGTTATCTAGCTCGTAAATCGACCTCGTAATTGGTTCCTATACCAGGTGGTCCAATTTTGAGCTTAAAACTAGAATACATTAGCTGGAAATTAACATCACTATCTGCTAGCATGCCTAGTCTGCAAATAAAAGAAAACAATTGCAGGAGGAATTCTGTTTTCTAGTTCGGAATTCGCCATCACATCTTCCGTAATTTTTCGGTTTCGAAGTACTTCAACTTCCATCAAACCATACCAGAAATAGAGAAACTTTTTCCTATCTTAAATCCATAATTGTTCAACTACTTGAGCTGTATGACAGCAACAGAACAGCTAGAGGCAGCCATACCATATGATCAAACATCAACTGAAAATGAAAATTAGATCAAGTGCATACACAATCACAATCAAACATTAACCGAAACTCGGAATCCGTCATCACGTCTTTAATGAATTTAGGATAAAATCTCCCAGTTTATCCGTTCGAACGAAATCCAACGATCGCCGAATCATCGGAAAAGTCACATCCTCCATCCTAACTTGACAATTCACATCTCTCCATCAACTACAACATATATGAAACCAATGTAACATCTAGAGGCATAGTTCATTACCTAATTCTGCTACATTACGATTGCATTAATATAATTGACCGACAAAACCAAATCAGAACAAGTGCAAGCATGGTTGAGAAATCATCCAGAAATAACATTAAAGAAAGAAAATTAAAGATGGTCCATATCCAATTGATTTTCCAATTACTTCTCTTATTAGCTTAGGTCCTATACCTTAAAGAACAAATAAGAGCCACATATTATTCTTGAGCACTAAAGGAAATTAAAGTCCCACTTTTCTTCTAATTGCTTGAGTTTGACAATCACTTGGCTTAGGTTCTACCTTTAATTCTCCACTTGTATAATATATATATATATATATGAAGGAACAGTTCACATCGTGTAAAATTTTGTAATTTTACATTTTTTTTAGATATTAGATTAGTAAAAATAGAATGTTGAAATTAATAATATTAAATAAAAAGATATTCATTGAATAAAAAACAAGAACAAATATCTTTTACACTAATTTAAGATCGTGAGATGAGTAAAAATGGACGGTTGAGATTATATCTTTTATTTTTTTCAATAAATATCTTCTCATCTACTATCGTCAATCTCAACTGTCTAATTTTACGTTATTAATTCAAGGTAAAACTTTAAAGTTTTTTTATAATATAGCTAATATATATATGTGTGTGTGTGTGTGTGAGAAGATCGCAGAAATCAGAGGTTTAAAGGCATCAATGAAAACCCAGATGGAATATAAAACCTCAATACAAAATACTAAGAAGCTCATAATGCAGCATTGTTATATCTAATCGAGTAACAGTAAAGCATTAAACCACGGCAGAAGAAACCGAAAAAGGAAAACAAAATTTAACATTTTCACAACATCAATGAAGAAACCAGCAAATACCCAGATTCAATCTCAATAAAAACAACAAGAAATTGAAGGAAAAAGAACATGATCGACAAATTCCCAGAAGAAAATTTGAGGGCGAGGTGAATTCACCGCTTACCTTTACAGGTTTGGGCTTAGAGTAAATGAGGAGAAAGAATCCAACCAGGAGTCCAACGGAAGTTCCAATCCCAAAGCCGATGATTCCCAACAAAGTGCTCAGAAATCCCATTTTCCCCCAGGCTTGGATTAGCTTTCTTCGAACAGAAAAATATGAATAGAAATGGAGATGGCTTTGAGGACGAATGAGGGAAATAGTAAGAACAATTGTTTTCAGAAACGTAACGAAGACGAGGAGAGAAACCGCCAAAACCTTAACACTTTTACGTTGGACGAACTTTGACTTTTCTCTTTAAAAAAGGCTTAATTATAAAATAAGTTCCCAAACTATAACAATGTTTTCAAAATAGGTGTCCAAATGTTTTCCAATTCATCCAAGTGTTTAACGTTACAAATGTTATCACTTTAGGTGTCTCGATCATAACATATGTTAAATGACGCTGTTAAAGAACACGTGTCACCTTTGTAAAAATATAAAAATATAAAAAAATTATAAAAAAACTCAATTTTTAAAAAACTTAAAAAAAATCCTAAAACTTTAAAAATTTTAATTTCAATTCATATACCTACACAGGAAAGGAAAGCAAGAAAGGGGGCTGAAAGGGAAGCACGAAGCGAGGGGATAAGCCGGGGGTTGTTGTGGTCTGTACATCTAAGATGGTAACATTTGTAACGTCATGCATTTGGATGAATCGAAAAAAATTTAGACACCTATTTAGGAAAAACGATGTAATTTAGACAATTATTTTCTAGTTAAGCCTAAAAATGAATTTTTGTGTGATTGTATTTGAATATATAAACGTTTATTATCAAATGATTAAAAATTATCTTAGATGTTATTTTGTATTTATTCGAGATTAAAAAAGAACATGGTATATATGAAACTTATAAAAATAAATAATTATTTGGTTCGTTGATACTCAAGGATTTCTTTCTATAAATATTAGTAGAATCGCGGAAAATATTACCGTAATAATTTTTTAAAAATAAAGGGTTAACTACACTGATGATCACTTATGTTTGTGTTTTATTCACTTTTGGTCATTGATTTTGAAAAACATAAGATATGATCACTTTCATTCTTGTTTAATTAAGATATGGTCACTTCCGTTATTGTTTACTTAAGATGTGGTCATCATGTGTTAACTGACATTAACAATTAGCAGAATATGTGAGGTGATAATTGGTATAATAACACATTTGATCCATTTTATTTACATATTCTCTCAATTTAGTCATACTTTTAAATAAACTTTAACATAAAATATATATTTTTATATGAAAATAAAAATAAAATAGTTTTAAATTAAGTTAATAATAAAATATATTTAATAAGTTAATATAAAATATTTTTAAGCTAATATATATAAAATATTATGGATTTAAGTGTTTATACACTAAGATACATAACATATACACCATGTTGTCTACTTTAAACCAAGAAATCGTTTTGGCTTAATGGTTAGATATATATTTAGTTTTTTAGGTGATCAGGGTTTGAATCTTTTTTGCCCTAATTTGCTTTTCTTTGTTCTCTTTCAATCAGAGAGTGACACATGCCACTATTTGATTGGTGGAAATAAATATATTAAATTAAAATAAATTAGTTCTCCAATCAAATGGTGACATGTGGCATCGTTTGATTGGAGGATTAAATTTATTTTAATTTATTAAAAGTATGACTAAATTGAGAGAATATGTAAATAGCATATATCAAATGCATGATTATATCAAAATATATAACTGATGTTAACGACAATTAACTCAGGGTGACCATATCTTAATTAAATAAAAACGAAAATGATAATATCTTATTTTTTTTTGAAATCAGTGATTAAAAGTGAAAAAAATACAAACATAAATGATCATCCATGTGGTTAACCCAAAAATAAAATATGAAACACTTATCACTATTTTAATTTCGTTTGCATTTTTTTAATCGGGATAAGGATAAGGCAATATATGTTCAAATATAATTATCAACTTTTCAACATTGAACGCTCACCCCTGACGTCTATGGTGCTCGAACTCAGGTCCTCAAGGAATAACAACAATTCTTTTACCACGAAGACCGATTGTTTTGTGCTTGTTTGTAATTTTTAAAACACATGACAATAATCTTAAAAAAACTTAAATAAATATAAATTATTAATTTATTGAATTAGTCCAAATCACTATCAAAATGAGAAAATATGTTAAGTTAATTAAAGTGGAAATGCCTCGTGAAAAATATTCAATATTTTAAATAAGTAATAAAATTTAAAAAATGTATTGTGAAAATTTCATGATATAATATTTGGTATCAATTGATTTAAAAAAATGATTAAATTTAACCATCGATATTAGTCAAAGAGGTGAATTGATAAAATTAAGGGTAAATTATACGTTTACTCACTAAACTTTACCATCTTTCCTATTTCACTCACCGCACTTTCAATTTTTTTCAATTTACTCACTGAACTTTAGACATTAAACTTTTTTGGCCACTCAATCATTTACTCAGTAACGGGGCACTGACGTGGGTTGTTTTAATAATAAAACATGTCACATATTCACTCACTAAACTTTACTCTCTCTCCTATTTCACTCACTATACTTTTAATTTTTTTCGATTTTAATTTAACGGTGTTAGAAATTTAACAGTCGAGTAAAAATAAAGTTCAATGTCTTAAGCTCAGTGAGCATATTGAAAAAATTGAAAGTAAAGTGAGTGAAATAGGAGAGAGATTAAAGTTTCATGAGTAAGCTTGTAATTTACCCTAAAATTAAAGTATATCCGCTTAATTGGATGAAAAAAGAATTTAAGGACTTAATTAATTTTTGGGTTAACTACACGGATGATCACTTATGTTTTTGTTTTTCTACTTTTGGTCACTTATTTCAAAATACATATGATACGGTCACCTTCGTTCTTATTTAATTAAGATATGGCCACCACGAGTTAAGTGTCGTTAAATATTTCGGTATAATCACACATTTGGTCTATTTTATTTACATATTCTCTCAATGTAGTCATACTTTTAGTAAATTAAAATAAATTTAATCATCCAATCGAATGATGCTACTGTCATTGGTACCACGTGTCGTGTCATGAGTCACTATTCGACTGTAAGACTAACTTTATTTTAATTTAACAAAGCAAAATAAATTGGTGGAAAATAAATATATTAAATTAAAATAAAGTTATTCCTCCAACCGAATGGTGACACGTGGCACAACACATGGCACCAGTGACACGTGACTTCATTTGATTGGAGGATTAAACTTATTTTAATTTATTTTGAAATTAGTGACCAAAAGTGGAAAAACATAAGTGATCATATGTGTAGTTAATCCTTATTTTTTTAAAAGGTTTAAGGCTTAATCATAAAATATGATTCATTGATTTAACTAATTTGAAATATTTTACTAAACTTTGATCAAATATTCATTCATAACAATATTTTAAAAACTATTTAAATATATAACACTATTTAAATATTAAAATAATATAAAAACTAAAGTATGTTATAAATATATATCATAAATAGGGAATGGCATGAGACCCGAATCCGACATGTTTCGACCCTTCCCGACCTAATCGTGTCAATTTTTTTTAAAAATTTCGGGTTTGGGTCAAGTTTTTTAGAGGTTGTGTTCAGGTCGGGTTGGGTTCGGTTTAGGGTGAAAATACCCGCCCTGACCCGATCCGAAAAATATTATTTTACCTTATATATTTAAGGGTAATTGTGATAATACACCTTTCTCTAAATATATTTTCAATTAAATCCCTATTTTTATTGAATAAAAATAATATTTTTTTAATAAATATATTATTTTGGGTTGGGTTGGGTTCAAATTTTATCTCAAAAAGTTGGGTTGGGTTTGGATTGGTGGAGGATGTAAAATTTTCGGGTCGGATCGGGTGGAGGATATAAAATTTTTTGATCGAATCGAGTTGACCAAAACCCAACCCAAACCTGACCCGTGTCCATCCCTAATTCATAAATGGACAATGATCCAATTACATAGTGTAAAACTTTTTAGTTTTACATTTTTTTAAAATTGTTGGAGGAAAGAAAATCAAGACTAAGATTAATAGTAGAAAATAAAAAATTATTTAAGAGAAGTTTTATAAGCCAATAATTATTATAAAGAGAAAATCGCCTCAGTGACAAAAAATGCCTTATAATATACGATTTTAACCAACTTTTTCCGGATTTGCCAAAATGACCAACAAAATCGCAATGCGATCGCTAATTCGCAACGCGATCTCCATTATCGCAAATTCGCGTTGCATTTCGCGTTGCGATAGTTGGAAATCGCGTTGTGATGGTCTACAGTGTCGTTGCGATTTTCCCAATTCGCAATGCGAATAAGTAAATCGCAACGCGAATTGAGAAAATCGCAACGCGATACTGACTTTCGCAACGCGATTCTGACTTTCGCAACGAGATAATACAGAATCGCAATGCGATTTTCAAAGTTCGCAACAGGTTTTAGTTCCGCAACACAAATTTTTTGGGTATATATCTACGCAGCAGCAACAACTCATAACCTAAATCCCTAAATCGCAACTCATTTCATCTCCATCTTTCACTCTCTCTGGTGACATCCGTTCCTACATCCTTCCCCATCCGGCAACAGGTCTTAGTTTCGCAGCTCGTTTGTTTAGTAAATTAATTTACAACCATGAAATCATCTAATATTGATCATGTTTGGATAGATTTGTGTTTTGGAGGGTCATGGGAGAATGTTCATGGTGTTTTACAATATATGCCTTTACCCATGAATCTTCAACTAAAACTGTCATTAAAAAAGTTAACTTATGAAACTCTAATGTTACGTGTTTCAAAGAAATTGAATTTAGAGCCCCTAAGTGGATTTAGGCTATCTTATCAGAGAAATTGTAAAGTTTATTTGTTAACCGACAATGAAGATGTTGAACGATTCATTGCTTACATTAGTGTTTCAAGTGATGATGTTACATTGTATGTTGTTGAACCTAGAAGTAGTATTGTTGGGTCAGTAGCGGGTAGTAATCAACTAAGTTTTTCTCAAAACCCACAACCTTTCTCTAATCCAAATCCCAATCAACTTTCAGCACCAAATTCTGGTTTTCGTATTGACCAATTAGACGATGATGAGCCAACAGAAA